AGGGAAAGGCAGGGAAATATAACAAAGAACAAAGGGACATATCCAAGAGATATACTTGCTTTACTGTTTTAAAATTGTCTTGCTTGCTTTCTCCATAGCTGTGCCTCTGCATATATTCTACTGGCTGAGGAAGAAGCAACAACTATTGTTGATGTTGAAAAGTTATTTAAGCAGGCACTCAAGGCAGGAGAAACGATTTATAGGCGATCGCAGCAGTGTCAACACCAAAGTCCTCAGCATGAAGCCCAACTGAGTAAGCAAATTAGAACGAATTTTTACCTGTTTTTTTACTTCCGGCAATTGGCTCTTTTATGTTTAAAACACAAAACAACAATAATAAACTTAATACTTAGAGGTAGCTACTTTTCCTAAGTGATAATCTATTCATAATATCTACAAGCCAGAAAGACTAAAGTACATACTGGCTAGAGAATGCTTGTGGAAGGAAACAGATCTGCTCTTGTTATTGAGAGATGTGCCACTCTAAGACTTAATAGTAATTTGTTTCATGTGAGAATTGGGCTGGTCATTGGAGAATACAACTTAGAACCATGAGAGCCTTCTAGTAATGACAAGCAGCTATTACCTTTATCCTTACCTTACCCCAAGCAATCTTAGGGGGACATCAATTGGTTTGCTCTTCAGACTATATGTATCTCTATATAGTGCCAGGGAGTGGCCCCTTTAGCACAAAAACCAGCCATACTTGGCATGGATTCTTTCTGTGGTTGATTTTTCTCTGTTGTGTTTGAGATCTTATGAGCCATAGCAACTGAGGTCCTTTCTTTCTCCTTACAGAGATACTCTCCCAATTATGATTGAGACACTTTTACCAAAGATGTTAGAATCCGTAGTACTGCTGCTTCCTGCTTTTTTTGTGTGGCCAGAGAGTTTTAGTTTCATGATTTTGGCAGATAGTGGGCCATAAATTGACATATGTTTACATAATGCATTATCTGCTAGCAGTTAAGTTCTAAATCTTTTATTTGTGGAAATTAAAATTTGGTTTACGTTTTCTCTCTAAGTAAATATTGATGTATACAGTATGTTTCATTAATGCTTGTTATAAAACACAACTGTGAGAATATATGATTTTGCAGTCTGGAACTAATGAAACTGCATTTATAAAAAAAGTTAAGCTGTCTGTCCTTGTATCATCTCAAATATGGTTGAGATAGTTATAGAACTATTAGTTTGCTCTTTCTATAAGTAGTTTTATAGTTTATTAGTTACTATCTAATGAGCAAAAGTTTGCACTAGCCATGGGAATTTTGTCTTTAAAATCTTTATTCAGTCCTAACTGGTTTGGCTCAGTGGATAGAGCATCAGCCTGCAGACTCAAGGGTCCCAGGTTCAATTCCGGTCAAGGACATGTACCTTGGTTGTTGGCACATCCCCAGTGGGGGGCGTGCAGGAGGCAGCTGATCTATGTTTCTCTCTAGTCGATGTTTCTAACTCTCTATTCCTCTCCCTTCCTCTCTGTAAAAAATCAATAAAATATATTTTAAAAAAATTTTTATTCTCAGGTTACCTATTGGTAGAGGTAAAAGTAATTCAATATATATACATATTATGCTTTTAATATAAAAAACTTCAAACATATACACAAATAGAGCAGTATAATGAACCCACATTTAATGTTCATCACCCAAATACAATAATCATTAATATTTTTCCATTCTGACACATTTAATTTTAATTAAAGTTGCCAGAGTAAGTAAATAAAATTAATGGATATGTTAATGAAATAGAAAATCATAATACAAAAATGATAGCTGTGTCATTTTTTTTTAAATAGGGAGAGATACCAATGTACTGGCTTATATTAAAAGAAGATTGGCAATGTGTGCAAGAAAATTAGGAAGAATAAGAGAAGCAGTAAAAATAATGAGAGATGTAAGTGAATTTGATAACTGGACCTTCATATTCTTCAAAAAACTAAAAATGTGGTTTGAGTTGCCAGTTATTTTAATGTAGAATCATTGTTTTTTAATTGATAGTTTTTATGAAAAGATATTATTGCTTAAGGATAGAGTCTCCACAGTTTTGTTAAGAAACAAAAGAATTTTTGTATCAGTGAATCTGATTCAACTCCATTGAGTTCCTTTGCTGTAATTTTAATATTTTTTTTCTTTTACAATATAGTTGATGAAAGAATTTCCTCCTCTTACCATGTGGAACATCCATGAAAATCTCCTAGAATCACTTTTAGAATTACAGGCCTATGCAGATGTTCAGGCAGTCCTAGCAAAATATGATGGTGAGTGATACTTGTTTTAGTTGATCACATGGTTAAAGAATTTTTTAAAATTATGTAATCATAAGTACGATTCTATTCTAGTATTTCTGTGATTTTCTTTTATCATTCTTACCAGTCAATATTTAGAATCCATGGGTGCAAGTTGCTATTAAGAATCTTCTAAGTGATTCAAATTAAAACCACAATGAGAACCATCTCACACCTGTCAGTGAAGATGGGGATGCCCTAGCCGGTTTGGCTCAGTGGATAGAGTATCGGCCTTTGTACTGAAGGGTCCCGGGTTCAATTCCAGCCAAGGGCACTTGCCTGGGTTGTGGGCTCGATCCCCAGTGTGGGGTGTGCAGGAGGCAGCCAATCAATGATTCTCTCTCATCATTGATGTTTCTGTCTCTCTCCCTCTTCCTTTCTCTCTGAAATCAATAAAGAAATATATTAAAAAAAAAAAAAAGATGTGGAGAAAAGGGATCCCTTATGCACTGTTGGTGGGAATGCAGATTGGTGCATCCACTATGGAAAACAGTATGGAGATTATTCAAAAAATTAAAAATGGAACTGCCTTGCCCAGCTGGTGTAGCTCAGCGGGTGAGTGTGGAGCTAGGAGCCAGGAGACCACGGGTTCCATTCTTGGTCAGGGCACATGCCCAGGTTGCAGGCTTCATCCCCTGTGGGGGGCCTACAGAAGGCAGGTGATCGATGATGTTTCTCTCTTATCAGTGTTTCTATCTCTCTATCCCTCTCCCTTTCTCTCTCTCTAAATCAATAAAATATATATTTTTAAAAAATGGAACTGCCTTATGATCCAGTGATTACACTTCTGGATGTATATCCAAAGAAACCAAAACACTAATTTGAAAAAATATATGCATCCCTGTGGTCATTGCTGTGTTATTTACAATAGCCAAGATTTGGAAGCATCTCAAGTGCCGTTTAATAGATGAGTAGATAAAAAAAGCTGTGGTACATATTTACAATAGACGATTACTCGACTATAAAAAAGAATGAAATCTTACCATTTGCGACAGTACAGATGGACCTAGAATGTTATGTTTAGAGAAGTCAATCAGTAAAGAAAATACATTATGATTTCACTTATATATGGAATCTAAAGAACAAAATAAATGAACAAACAAAATTGAAACAGGACTCATAGATACAGAAAATAGATCAATGGTTGCTGAGTGAAAAAGGGGAAGGGATTAAGAAGTACTAATTGGCACTACTTCACAAAATAGTCATGGGGATGCAAAGTATAGCATAGGAAATGTCATTTCAATTGTAATAACTATGCATGGTGCCAAATGGGTACTGGAAATATTGGGGGGGAACACTTTGTAAAGTATATGGTTAAGGTCTAACCATTATGCTATACACCTGAAACTAATACAAAATTCTTTAAAAAGAGTCTTTCAAAGATTTTGGGAATATCTTGCTAAGTAATATAAGTCAGACAGAAAAACTAAAGAACCATATGATTTTACTCATGTGGGATATAAAATTAAAAGTAACAAATGAAGCCAAAACCGGTTTGGCTCAGTGGATGGAGCGTCGGCCTGCGGACTGAAAGGTCCCAGGTTCGATTCTGGTCAGGGGTGTGTACCTGGGTTGCGGGCACATCCCCAGTGGGGGATGTGCAGGAGGCAGCTGATCGATGTCTCTCTCTCATCGATGTTTCTGACTTTCTATCTCTCTCCCTTCCTCTCTGTAGAAAATCAATAAAATATATATTTAAAAAAAAAAAAAGTAACAAATGAACAAACAAGACAAAAAAACACACACAAAAAAATCGTAGATGCAGACAGTAGTGTGGTGGTTACCAGAGGGAAAAAGGAGTGGTGGGAGGTAGCCAAGGAAAAAGGATGTCAAATAGATAGTGATGGAAGGAGATTTGACACATAGTACAATATACTGGTGATGTGTTATAGAATTGTACACTTTAAACCTATATAATTTTATTAACCAATGTCACTCCAATAAATTTGATAAATAATTTTTAAAAAAGAATCTTCCTTATCAGGAATTTTGCAAGCACAGGCCTGTAAGGAGGAACTTTTCTTCTGTCAATATTTATTTGCTGAGTACCTACTATGAGTGAGGCACTTGGCATACAGTAGTGAACAAAAGGACATGGACTTAGCTCACGTACGATTTACAGTTTAGTGGAACAGACAGACAAATGAATAGTAATTATATTGAAACATGATGTGTTAGCTGAGATAATTGGAAAAGTATGAGGTGCTGTGCACAAAGGACGGTACCTCATTTATTTGGGAGTGTCAGGGAAGGCTAACAGAAGTTGCTTAGTAATATGTATGTATAGGAGTAATTCAGAATAACATTTTACAATGCTTTTTAGTTACAAAGCATAATTTATCTTATTTGATATTTATAATAATCTTGTGATGTGGTAGAAAAAGAATTTTTACTATCTCCAGTTAGTAAAAAGAAAACTGGAGTTGAAGGTTAAGTAATTGGGTAAGGTCTCCCAGCCAGGAAGTGGCAAGCCTGAACTTAAATCCAGGTATTCCATTTCTTTGTACTAGTCTTCTAATAATGAGAAGTCAATATAATGCCTATTTTTATTATCCTCTATAATAAAAGCCTAATATGCAAATTGACCGAACGGTGGAACGACTGGTTGCTGTGACGTGCACTGACCACCAGGGGGCAGACACTCAACGCAAGAGCTGCCCTCAGGCCCCAGGCCAGCCAAGACATGTGCCAGAGGGGGTCGTCTGCCTGTTGCCCTGTAGAGGGAGGCGACTGGCAGCGGCGGCGGTGGGAGGGCGGGGCCGGCTAGTGGGTGGTGCCAGGATGGCCAAGGCAAGTGCCAGCAGGGGCCCCCCAGTCGCCCTCACCCTACAGATTGGTTCTGATCACCAGCCAGGCCAAGGGACCCTACCCATGCATGAATTTCGGGCCTTTAGTTATACTATAACAGTGCACATTTAACACAAATGGAGTTGGGAGAATTTTACAAGGCATAGCGTTTCTCCTCATTCTGAGTGAGTCATCAGCTCTTAAACCCAAGCTGCATATATCCTAACTAGCACAATGCTTCTGATCATATCTTTCACTCCAAGAGGACATACTAGTTTTATTCACACTTGTCCATTTGTAAGTTCCTACCCATTAGCTTGGGAATCCTTATGACTTGGCAGGTTTGAAATGTGTTACACTTGGAAAGAGAAGTTTATTTCTTTTAAACATCTGGAATTCTTACGAAGTGCTTCAGAATACTGTGGGCTCATGGAGAAATTTATGAGAAATTCTTTCCATATGTAACTGATCAGATGCATGGCCTGCTTATGATGCTTATGATGAACAAGCTTAGGAACCAAATATAAAACAGCGGATAGGACCTGATTCATTAAATCTAAAATAAAACTCACAACTTAGATATGCTTCTGTGTTTTCAGTTATTTTTATGAGTCCCCAGTTTTTACCATTCTAGACTTGTGAAGTTAAAAGCAATTTAGTTCTTTAGTTCTTCATTTGCCGGAACATCTATAAAATCGAAAACTTCAAAGGAATTCTGTGGCCTTACTCCTAATAATATTATTTTAGGCATTATTTTTTATTTTAGTTGACATACAATATTAAATTAGGTTCAGGTATATAACATATTGATTAGGCATTTATATACCTATGAGGTAATCAGCAGATAAACCTAGTACCCATCAGACTTCATATATAATTATTATAATATTATTGACTACTAGAGGCCCAGTGTACGAATTCATGCATGGGTGGGGGCCACTGGCGGTGAGGGGATGCAGGAGGTAGGTCGGCTGGCCCCGCCCCCGATTGGGGTGTGGGGGATCAGAGGCAGGGCCGGCTAGGGGGAGGGGCTGCAGGTGGTTGCAGGGTTGCTGATTGGGGCCGATTGGGCCAGTTGGCCATTGCAGTGCACGTCATAGCGACTTGTCATTCTGTAGTTCTGGTCGCTTGGCTTTTATATATATATATAATATATATATATATACATATATATATATATTTCCTATGCTGTACTTTACATCTCCAAGACTAATTTTATAACTGGCAGTTGATACTTGTTAATCCCCTTCACCTTTTCCTCTCATTTTCCCCAACCCTCTCCCATCTGGCAACCATTAGTTTGTTCTCTGTATCTATCTGGTTATTTCTGTGTTTTTGTTGGTTCATTTATTTTGTTTTTTAGATTTCACATATAAGTGAAATCATATAGTATTTGTCTTTCTCACTATGCCTTATTTCACTTAGGATAATACTCTAGGTCCATCCATGTTGTAGCAAATGGCAAAATTTCTTTCTTTTTTTATGGCCAAATAATATTTTATTGTATACTAGTGGCCCGTTGCACAAAGATTCGCACAATAGGCCTTCCTTCCCCTGGCTGCCGGCATCGATTTTCCTCCAGCATCCAACCTAGGCCTTTGGTCCAGCCGCAGCAGCGAGGCTTGGCTTCTCTGCTCTGGCTGCTCCCAGGCCCTCCTTTTTTTTTTTTTGTCCAGCTCCTCGAGCGGAGGCAAGGGCTGGCTGGAAGCCTGGGTCACCGAGGGCCACTCCTTGAGCAGAGTCCAGGGCGGGCTGGAAGCTTGTCTTCCTCCGTCGCCGGGAGCAACCCAGGCCTCCTGCTCGCTCCAGCTCCATGGCCACTGCCATCTTTTTTTTTTTTTAATTAAATCTTTATTGTTCAGATTATTACATTTCTTCCTCTTTTTTCCCCCATAACTCTCCTCCTCCCAGTTCCCTCCCCACCCAGTGTCCTCATCCATAGGTGCACGATTTTTGTCCAGTCTCTTCCGGCATCTCCCACACCCCTTTCCCCCCAAAGAATAGTCAGTCCATTCCCTTTCTATGTCCCTGATTCTATTATGATCACCAGTTCATTCCCAGT